TGCTTTCTCATCTCTCATTGAATATATATATATACATAGCTTACTTGTAAGTAGATTTTAGTAGTTAAAATCTTATTCTAAGCATTTGAATACGGTAATTGCATATTTTATATTCGGATAATCTAAGTAGTAGAGCCTATTTCATAGTTCAGTCAACACTCTATAGTCTCAATTTATACGATCAAACGCAATGATTTAGAAATTGGTTTAATACTGTTTGCCTCTGAATGAAATGTTTGACAATAAAAATGGATTAATTTTTTTAGTTTTAGAAGGCCTAAACGATATTGAATTTTCGTCCTGTAGAACATTTGATCCCTATCAGATCAAGTATTAAACTTTCCAGATGCTAAGAAATTTCATTTACATTTTTTAGTACAGATTAAGCTGTATAGTTATTGTTAATTTTATCGGAGTGTCTAACAAAGTAATGAAGTGATGCACCGAAAACCAGGATCTAAAATAAAGGTTTACCTATTCATTTGTACTATGATTACAAAAATTATATCCCAATTAAGGTGAGGTGTGAGATGTTTAATGTTTGTTTTTGTATAGAAATATATCCTTCCTAAAATAATTTTACAATCAAAAATCGGAAATATCTGAAAACAATCATAATGGAAACTAAAAAACATAGTTCACGGAAACTGTTGCTCTTGTACGAAGGTCTAATTTCTACAGAGAAATCAGAAATAACCACTAAAAATATCGAGAGTTTAAAATTACAGTAATAAGGGAATTTGTTATTACGAATTTATGTAAACAGAGACTTAGGTATGTCTCAAAAAGTTAAGAAGCACGGTATATCACGGACTAGAAATGATGATAAATGAAACTACTTACTAGATATTATTAAGTAGCATAATATATATATATATATATAATACATTTTCTTTCCAGGCCTTCAAAGAGTAGAAGATTACGTAAAATGATTTATACTAATTCTGTCAAAATTTATTAATGAAATTCATTTGGCAAAGAGTTCCACTTACCTCACATAATTTACCAAAGATCATAATTATTGATTAAGGGTGTCAAATAACAAACAAACACTCAATGCCAATATTAGATTGTACCAGCTAAAACAATTTTTTCATGATAGACAAAGATAGATAGTGAATAGCAGTGGAATTGAGGACACGCGTTTCGTCCTATTTCGGATTCGTAATCTGGATGTACCTGCATCTCAGAGTTGATTTTCACTCCAGCCGTCGAGTCCCAAATATGACGGATTCCACTGCTAGCCACTGTCCATCATTGCTTAGAATGCTTGTGAATTAAGGCAATATCGAGACAGTATGCACAGTATGTACATATGCCAATATTTGATTGATCAGTTGCAATCCTAAACATCCATGGGAATATTCAAGTAAACAATACCAAGTGAATTTAATTGTTCATGATCTTTATTCTATTGATCAAGTAAATACAATCATATCATTTGATGGATCTAGGTAAGTAATTGTCTCTTAACAGAGAAAACAATTTCATGGTGATCTTAATTAGAAGGGAAAAAAATGTGAAAAGCAACATCTCCACATAGATAAACACTGTACTTTCTATAAGAAATATTCTATTTTTGTGTATAGAAACAGATTGATCTAAACTATATCAATGAAAAATTAATATAACGGGATAAAAAGGTCAAAAGTTACATTTTTAACTTAAAATTTTTATCCCAAATGACTTACGTTTTCAATTCATTATGATAATGACTTAGTACTCAGTATTGATTTACTTTAATATGGTGTTTATTCATGATATGATATTCATGTGTTACATGGACTTGAACTATACTTAACATGACATGTAGCATACGATTTTACTATAATTTCATATATATACAAATCAATATGAGAAATGAGTATATTTTCGATTAAAGGGGTCATTATGTTGATTTTAGGGGTCAACAAATCTTTACTTGTATCCGTCTGTTGTGTTTTTACTTTGTGTTATAGGAAATTGTAGTGGTTCCTCATTTGAAGTATAAAAAAAATATAGGTGATGTGAATATAACACAAATTCTATTTATAACGAACACCGTCTAATCGGTTTTTTAAGACATAAGTTTAGGTATATTGTTATTTTATATTGTTTCATATATTCTTGGTTTTCTAACATAGAAAATGAATGAAGTAGCTACATATGGTATAACTCACAATAGACCACAACATACTATCAATAAATCATTAAGCTTCAGTATATATATTGTATTATATATATATTAAACTTTTTCAGCAGTAACTTTATAAAGAGGGAATATGGCTAGTCTAATATTTATCAGAGGATTAGAACAACACTTTATTGTCATTATGTTGATGAGACTTGGAGAAATTCTCAATGATTCCATGAAACATGGAGAGTGTAGGGCCAGTGAAATGTCACTGAGCCCTAGCTAAATCATCTGGCAGTTGAGTCACTGAATATTGAACAAATCATCGATCCTCGTCCAGATCAAGAACAACCAACGCGCATCAGTTAGTTGTTTGCCATGGACTGGCTCATGCGGTGGTGGTCTCGCTATCTTCTCTGTACTCATTCTTACTAATACATTTTCATAACAACGTCCTTTGTGATATATGGTCATCAAAGCAGCCATGGTACATTGATATGTGGAAGGGGTAATCAACGTTAGATGCTGACCGTGAGGTGTGACTTTAAAGTTAGCTGGTTTGTCATACCACTCCCGTTTAACTCGAGTATACCTCTAATCATTCGACATAGATAATCTACGTTGGTGACCTACAAACGCTATTTACTGAAGATAATACATTAAAGAAGATAGCTCTTTTCAGGTAAATCAGGAGTGTAAATAAAAGAGGATGAAAACTGTAAGCATTTTGACAAGCCAGGACGACCATTGACCTTCAATATTGATGTATACATCGGATAGGTGCTTGTTGATCACCAGATTACTGTTCGAATGGTTGTTGATTCAATGTTTTTAGGGAAGTCGTCTGGCTACACGATTCTAGCAAAATATTGGGGAAGACGACTGAGTATAAAATGAAGAGACAGGTGAAGTGCCTAACTTCTGATGACTGTTAGGGATGTCTTGGATAACAGAAGTGGAGGTAAACAAGTTTATTGGCACGCGTAAAGATGATTTTTAAGGGAACGTGATTGGCGTCTCTAAGACCCCATACACCGAAGAATTATAACCCTAGATTTCACATTTGTTTTGCTACAGCAGAATGACAGTTTGTATGTTGAATAACAGCTTACAAACGAGTTTGGTTCCCTTCTCATATTATCTCTCGACATATTCATTAGTTCCCTTATTCAATACTAATTGACGAAAAGTGAATCGGAAATGTACGAGGTTTCAATTATTTTGAATAAATTTCAAATTAATAAGTTTTTGAGGCCAGATCATTTAATCACAACGGTTGTGCTACTCAATATTTTGAAGTTATTTTCACATACAAACTATGGATTATTTTTGGCCTGTTATTACACTTAGGGATTATTTATACTTTTAAGATACTCGAAAATATTAAAATTTGGACATAGAATTCTCAGCATTTTGGCAGGATGCAAAAATTCAGCAATAATATTTTGGGTCTCAGTTGTACCAAGTATTAACAACGCCTATTAAATTTTTGTATTCTGTGTATCTCTTCCATATGTCAGTATCACAGCCCTCACACATATCGAATGAGCTTTCTGTGGCGTATATGTATATGGTGCCTCTTTGTACCATTATCTATGTGTTGAAATAAATAAATAAATAAAAATATCTACATCCCTAAGTCATTTGATATTTGATTCATTGGAGCTACTAACCTTACAGTTACATATATCACGTCATTCCTGATAATACTAAATTTGGATATAATAGCTCTATTTCACCAGATAAAGCATTAATGCAGGCTGTTAAAGTCTGATTCGAAAACACGTAACATTACTTTAAAGTAAACAGGAATGGAAGTGGCAGCTCTGTCTGACCAACAAGCAATCTACCAACTCCTTAGTAATGTAGAATTTAAAGATAGGATGCCACCTAAGCTGAGGAGACATATAGAAGATTTTTTAGAAACCCGGCACACCATTGGTTGACTCTTTCACTAAGTATAACTCTGTACACTGTCACAAATTATATTCCCAGTTAAATATATGACAAAACGCCTATTACGATAAGCACTATCTCTTAGTAGCTGCAGGTAGATCGAATGGCCATATTGGAAAATCAAACTTGGAATTCGATGATAAGAAATCATACCATTTGATCGGAGGGAAAGCATTTGCATATATTCTAGAAAACTCATCATTCAGCTCTCCAATGAGGACTAGCAAGAACACACATACTTTTGACAGCTTTTGATAATGCTGAAAATTTGAAGATGAAGTGATGCGAACAAATTATATATATATATATATATTACGCTGTTAGTAAATCGTTGAAATCTATGAGTAATAACCAACAACGTTTAGAGTTGAAGCCATTGGATCCAAGCAGTTAAAACTAATAAGTTACTTAAACCTGATAGCAGTTACTTTACGTTCTCACATGTACTTAGTCACGCTGTCAACTTATTATAGCATAGCTTAACTTTATGCACAGATAATTATCGTAGCGTTTAATGATTATTTGGCATTTGCAGTAGTATATCAAGTTTCTATGCTTCCCTATAGTCAGACACATATATACATGATTTCAATAAACCAAAAAGGCGAAAAATTAATGTTGTTTGTTTCAAGAAACTAATACATAACTGATTTTCCTAATGACTTGAAGAAATTTTACGTAGAAAGTAACGTAGATCATTGTTGGATTTAAGAAAGTTAAAAATAACAAAACATTTTGTTGGACCTTCAGAAATATCAGACTAAATCATAAATTACGTTAAATAATGAGTCAGAAATGACAGGACCAAATTTCTATTTTATGGACGTTCTAATTTGAAATTTGTTTAAATCAGTCATTTGTATTAATATTATTGGCTTATAAATGGCTTTCTTTTCTAAGGGATTTTACTTAATACGCTCGTTTCAATCGCTAACCTGGCTAGCTCGCTAGTTTGTCGTCAGGTGAGTAATGTCTGGTAGAGGCAAAGGTGGTAAAGGTCTGGGGAAGGGGGGAGCCAAACGACATAGGAAAGTGCTGCGCGATAACATCCAAGGTATTACGAAACCTGCTATTCGTCGTCTTGCTCGCCGTGGAGGTGTAAAACGCATTTCTGGTTTGATCTACGAGGAAACTCGTGGTGTGTTGAAAGTATTTCTGGAAAATGTTATTCGTGACGCTGTCACATACACGGAGCATGCCAAGCGGAAGACAGTAACCGCCATGGACGTAGTATATGCTTTGAAACGCCAGGGTCGTACATTGTACGGTTTTGGTGGTTAAATTCGACATGTGAATTCTTGGTTGAGCAACACTGCCCTGTTAAGGGCCAATATTTTGATGTATATACTGTTACTTTTCATTTGCTTATTATTGTCAATGTATCTTGTATTTATAGTATTGCTTTTAAAACTTAAGGACTTAGCATCATGTGTTCTCTTATGGTTAGTGGTGGGCTAGCTTAGTATGTGTCAGACAATGCGTTGAACTTGATGTCGGCTTATTAGCTGCTGTGTTGAAACGTTCTAAATCTATAGGATCCACATCGGCCTATGACCTCTAGTTCAGATGATTCAGTTCTATGCGTGATGTGCTCGTCAATAAGCCTAGTTTTCGTTTATAACGTTGGCTTTTGTGTTCATTGTGCATTACTGATATTGGGTGTTCTTAGGGGCTACTTTACAAAGTGCGTGTTCCGCCGAGCAGCTTTGTTTAATATTCGAGTAAGCGGCTTTGTGACGGTGATTTTCACACCGTTTAGCTTGGTTGTGCGTTTGTGCTCGGGCGATACTGTTGCTCCAGATGGTCAGTTTTCCATTGTCCGGGGCTAGTGTCGTAGTCACTCCATTTCCACATTAAAACTGAGCTCGACCAACCCTGTGGTCGCAGATTTGAAGACCCCATTGTATCGACTTAATTTTATGGGGAGTGAGCATCGTAATTTATTCTCCTCAAAGACCTTGACCTCTGTATGGTTGGTAGTTAGTAGTAGTAGTTTCTACTTGTCATAATAAGCTGAGCTGTCACGTTTGAGTTCTTAGGGTTGTCTTGTTGCACCGTCGGTGGGCTCGTCTTCGGGACTAAGATGGTGGTCAGCCGAGTTTAACTAATTCGTGGGAAAGAATATTACCTTGACTGCCTATTCCGATCTTATATGCAGCAGTGCCGTTGTGCTTGAAAACGATCATTGTTGTCTTAATCTATAGAATTAACTTCGAGCGAGGGCGCAAGTCGGGGAAAGTTTGTTGACCTTACAACACAGGCTCCTAAACGAAGTTGCCGAGCAAGATTTGGTCACCTGTCGTGGTAAGGTTAACTGAGTGTTTGGACGTGACTGTTGGCACTATTACAATGGACAGTTGACCGTAGCGTGATGATCTATGTTTGGCAGCTACATGCGTTAGGGATGAAGGGATGCTTTGGTCTGACATCCGCTTGGTAATTCATTTCGAATGTCTTTGGCTACTAAACAAGGGTTTATTTCAATCAGGTAGTTGGGAGCAGTAATGTTTGTGTAGTCGCTCGTCTGAGACAGTGAATGTAAGTTCACACTTCCTTGATAAGTCCCATAGATTCTCACTTGGGGAAACATTTAGTTAGCATCCGCCCTATGGTAGCGTGACGTGATCGCCATTAACCGGATGCTCCAATGAACTTCAGTTAGTGACCTGTTATTGTGATAGGCTGGTAAAAAATTATACAGATCTTGAAGAGTTCGGAGAGCAACCTGGGCGTGAACTCCCTGGTTGACAGTAATAACAAAGTCGCCATAGGTGGTCCAATTTTACGGCTCATAAGGGTAAATATCGATGATGACATCGTCAAAAATGTGTTAGTGGTGATAACTGAGAATATCTATTTGGGAATATTAATGAAATGGCTCGAATTACTTCCAGACTGAACAGGATGTTAATATCGCTCCTACACCTACTGAAGTGTCGAGGATGCTAGCGGTTTAAATTTGTTAGAAGTTGGATAAGGCGTCGTGTAGTACTGAGAGGTGGGTCTCTCATTGATTGCTCCCACTGATAGCCGTGCATACGACGGGAGTGTCTGTGACACCGGTTTTACGCCTGACTAGCTCACAAAAAGGAGCTTTACAGGCATACCGGCGCCCATCGCTACGGGTACATCTTGGCTCGAAGTTGGCGTCTTGCAATATTGATGGTAGTGTGACACTAAAGCTAGCCGTAAACAACAGGGAACCTGCATCGGTTGAGGTTGCCACTGTTGCAAATCACAGTTAAGATGTGTCTCGACGTAGATGGTGCATTTGAGGCCACGTCGTATTCCTGGCTATCGGAGTGGGCTTTGTTAAGTGAGCCCTGGGGCTCACTGACGTCATAATTATTTTCGAGTTACACTACGACCGCACGTTGTGTGACTTCGTCAAATGACTAGCCGGTTGCGGACCTCTTGTACATAGCTTCGAGCTACGCTTTGCGTGGGAGGGCCAGTCATTCTGTAGCTGTATTTGTTCCGCGCCTATCTATCTTGCTCTGAATAAGTGTGAAACATAACGTATCAATTATTCTGGTGCTATCGGCTGTTTTGTCATTTTGTGTATGTGTCTGTGCTCATTTATCAGTGGTACGTTGAGTACTTTGTGGCAGACTTTGAAGCCATAACTGGTAAGACAGACTTCCATCCACGTTGGGTTAGTTTTGTCACTGGGTAGCGCATTGGCTATTAATTGGTCGGTTAGTCCGAAAATAGGCAAACTGGTGAAACTCTAATTTATTGACGACCTTTGAACGAATTTTTAAGGGACCTTGAGGACATTAGCCAATCAGAAGAGAGTTAGTATAAAGTAAAAATATATTATAAAAGAGTGATGAATTACAATGGATATTCTTCTTTGACATTATTTGAGAACTTGTTGAGGTTTGATATAGGTTCAGAAGTTTTGAAATCATAGTGCATGCGGTATAAGAACTCGTCCATATGACTCTATAATAATCGTCCTCTGGAGCCGTGGTAGGGTTTTAAAGAATACTTCAGCCTAGACCACATGCCCTCAATGTTGTTTGTATGGCCCCCCCGTCGTTGGATCAAAGAAATAACGTTTGTGCACCACAACATGATGCACAAAACCAAGTCTGGAGAGGCATCTATACGCTTTCCAATCATCGGTATAGCCGCAGCTAATGTTACTGGAGACTTTATGATCCAATTTGCAACGATTATCATGGTTTTTCTTAGCCTTAGCCGTGACCGGGTAAAAAAGTGACATTTCGAGCAGATTGTTTTCTACAACATATAGTACAACGAAATACAATGTCATCGCGGCAGTCTGCACATCGTGCTGCGGTCATTTAATTGCCGCAGTCACAGACACAGGAACTTCCTAATAGTCCCATCTGCTGTAGTCTCTCAACGATCACCTATTCTCTAAAATCTGCTGTAAAACGATCGAAGGTAGGACTCTAATTTATGGACGAGCCAATCAGAAGCGTCTAAGGAATTTTTAAGGTCATGGCGCTAAGTTCAGTGCGAGATGCTCACATTCGATCGTTTTACAGCAGATTTTAAAGAATAGGTGATCGTTGAGAGACTACAGCAGATGGGAAGTTCCTGTGTCTGTGACTGCGGCAATTAAATGACCGCAGCACGATGTGCAGACTGCCGCGATGACATTGTATTTCGTTGTACTATATGTTGTAGAAAACAATCTGCTCGAAATGTCACTTTTTTACCCGGTCACGGCTAAGGCTAAGAAAAACCATGATAATCGTTGCAAATTGGATCATAAAGTCTCCAGTAACATTAGCTGCGGCTATACCGATGATTGGAAAGCGTATAGATGCCTCTCCAGACTTGGTTTTGTGCATCATGTTGTGGTGCACAAACGTTATTTCTTTGATCCAACGACGGGGGGGCCATACAAACAACATTGAGGGCATGTGGTCTAGGCTGAAGTATTCTTTAAAACCCTACCACGGCTCCAGAGGACGATTATTATAGAGTCATATGGACGAGTTCTTATACAGCATGCACTATGATTTCAAAACTTCTGAACCTATATCAAACCTCAACAAGTTCTCAAATAATGTCAAAGAAGAATATCCATTGTAATTCATCACTCTTTTATAATATATTTTTACTTTATACTAACTCTCTTCTGATTGGCTAATGTCCTCAAGGTCCCTTAAAAATTCGTTCAAAGGTCGTCCATAAATTAGAGTTTCACCCGATCGAATGTGAGCATCTCGCACTGAACTTAGCGCCATGACCTTGAAATTCCTTAAACGCTTCTGATTGGCTCGTCCATAAATTATAGTCCTACCGGCAAACTTAACGATTCTTCAGGGTGTCATATATCATGTGCCTGGCTGGGATTTGGGTGTTACACCCCGGACCTGCTCTGCAATTTCATTAGTTAACATAGCTGGCTTTGGGAAATCAGTTTTTAAAGGAAAGTTCTCTAATCGTGCACACCATAAAGTGATATCACACGTTTTGAATGGAGGTACAAGCAACAAAAAAACTGAAAAGCCCAACTTAGTTGCGCATCATGGCTTGCACGATCAGTTTTTTCCACACCAGTGAATTACGAGCCACATTGCTAAACTCGACTGTTTTGACTGGATGCTAACTTGTAGGATTGCAGAACAGGTCAGAGAGGTAATACTCAAACCTAACCCAGATTCGGACGTGCGATCTGCCAATTGAGAAATAGCTGCCCTTATCACTAAGTCAATACTTCCCTCTCACTATCTGTCTTTCCGTAGATTAGCATTACGTATGTGACTTCTGGGGTATTGTAAGAGATCTCATAGCATCCTGAACTCCTCGGCAAAAGTGTTTAAGTTAGAGTCTCTCTAAGTGGACATTTCAAGGCTGATATGCGTTACTACTTTTTCTGAACCGAGAGAGTGTATTAGTCAAGTGCGATGCTCATTCTTTTAAAGAGTCTCATCGCTTCTGGTACTTTCGTCAACAACGAAATCTCAATAACGACCCCAAAAACTCGATTAATGTTTGCTAATGTCGGACACTTGTGATCAGAACACTATGTCCGGCTACTCATCAAATGTTAAATGTACTCCGCAGCACTTTACTATTACCTCTTAATTTCGAGAGTAGATGTGAGGGCTCTTAACATTTGGATAATGAGGTCTTCGATAGATCGGTCGTGTGTAAAGGAACCGCTGAATGACTAATCGTATAGTGTGGAGTGCAGTGTGATTAGGTTGACAAGCCGACTAATGTGGCACAGATACGTTCTGGATTTCGGATTCCAGTTCGTATTTTAGTTTTCCATTTAGTCTTCTTGGATTCCATTCTGTTTTTTTCTCTTTCCCCCTGCATTGCTTTGATCGGTTGTTGAATAGCTCGTTAATTTCCTTCCATGCTACTTCAATTTGCTCCAGTACACACCTGTGCGACGCTCTGCTTTAATGATGACTGGAGTCGACTTGTAAC